ACATTTTCTACCACATACATAACAAAACACTGGAGAGCTACTATCGTTTCGAACAACTTCAACTTCTTCTTCATCATTTATACTAATGATTTGGTGCGGCTTCATGTAAATACCTCTTCCCAACAAACATTCAACATGAAGGTTGACTTTATAGAAATCACGAGTATAGAACCATGTTTGTGCATCTATACCCATTTCACATATTTCGCACCAATATTGACGATTTTTTGTATTTTCTTGACCATAACAAAGAGTGAAAGAATGTCTATCGTGTTTGTACTGTGCCATACAAGGCAGCGTAGCGCACTTAAGTCCCAATGCGAAGTTGCATTTCCTACATTCTAAGAGATAACGTGAACACTTGCTAGATTTACAACTCATGCATTTCTCTCTTCTCTTACTGAAGAAGAGGGGGTGATTGAGTTGATGGTAATCTTCATGGATTAAAGGTTTTAAAAGAGAAGCGCACCTGACATCTAGTTGAAACCCACAACCTTTTTCGCCACATTTGTAAACAAAGCCACAATTTAGTTGGTCACAACCATCGCATGGGAACATGCCTTTGACATAAGCCTCAAAGTTGGGTTTTGGAGGGAAAGAGTGGAGGGTAAGTGGATGTTTGTGTAGTGGATGGTGTTTTTTGAGAGGAAGGGCTGCACATGCTTCGTGGAGAACAAAATTGCATTGCATACAACCATAAAAACGCTCGGTGGAACGTATTAATTGAAGACAACAAGCTTGACAAAACATGATTTCATGTTCACAAGCGTTGTTGTTCCTTTGGAGCTTTAGATGATGATCATGACTGAAGTGTTGTATTGTCTCTTGGTCAATCTTCACAAATGGTGTGATGATGTCTCTCTNTTCGTAGAGCTTTTGTGGAATTCTCTCAAGATGTTTTCCATCATCCCATACATCTTCCCTCGTCGCGCATGGTAAGACATGGACTTGGTCCAAAGTGTTGTCAAGAAACAAGCCAGACTGTGGAGGATTGGATAGCCGGCAAAGGATGTGAGCCTGAGACTCAGAAGCGGGAAAATACGACGGCAGTTCCATAGTTTCTTTAGAAGGAAAACAGAAAATAAGTGTTACAAGTTAGTATAGTTTCAGTTTTGAAATCTAACCATTGTTAGGCTCTGTTTTTTATAGCATTATATCGTATTAAGTTAATTTATTGCAGGTCTTTTCAAAAGGAAAAAAAATTCTAAGACAGATCCGAGTGTGGTCTTTCTTATATTGTTTTGGTCTTTCTTTTTGTTAAAGTTTTAAATGTAGTTTAAGACCAAAAATTGCTTCACGTTTTTCTTCTTTTTATTTTATACTGTTATTTATGAAATTAATTTTTTAGTAAATTCTTCACGTTTAATTTAGCTTAAGCCAATTAGTATACTATCC